ATACATACGCCCCAGAAAACGAAGAAACTGCCAATATCTTCGAGTCCATGAATTCTTCTCAAGAACTAGCCAAGCCTTCGACAACCAAAACCGAACCATTCATCGCGCAGCTCCAATACCTCAGAAAGCCCCTATGGCTTGTGGGGCCCGCAATCCTCCTACTCACGGGGGTGGTCCCCACCTTATGGCTGCCCATCTCTTCAATATTCATGGGTCCCACCATAGCCACGCTCCTCTCTCTCACAGGCCTCGACTGCATATTCAACCTCGGCGCTTCCCTCTTCCTCCTCATAGCAGATTCCACTGCCCGTACAGCTCAACCTTGCTGTAATAAGCCGCCCCATGCTTATAAATTCTGGAACACGCTAGCAAACGTAACGGGATTTCTCGTTCCCCTACTGGTGCTCTTTTGTTCCCGAAGGGGCTTGCTCGAGCCTCAATTGCCGTTTATATCTTTTGCGGTGCTTCTGGGGCCCTACTTTCTGCTGCTGTCTGTGCAGATGCTGACGGAGATGCTGACGTGGCACTGGGGGTCGCCCGTGTGGCTGGTGGCCCCCGTTGTGTACGAGGCGTACAGACTGTTGCAGCTGATGAGGGGTCTGGGGCTTGGAGTCGAGCTGGCAGCGCCCAATTGGATGGTGCACACGGTGAGAGGGTTAGTGTGTGGGTGGGTGCTGGTTCTTGGTGTGCAGCTCATGAGAATTGCTTGGTATGCTGGTTTTACTTCTTCTCTTGCTTCTTCTTCTTCTGTTGATGATTATTGATCCAACGGCTGAGAATGTTTGTTTGTTTCACCATACTTGTATATATATAGGGTAAATACAACCACCCCTGAGGTATGGTTAAATTACAAAAAAAACCCTCATGTTTGGGTAATTACAAACACCCCTCAACTTTAAATCTTCTTAAACGTCCACCCTCGCGGTTTCAAATTTAGTGGAATCATCTAGATTATATGGAATATTCTCGATTTTGTACTCGTTTTATCCCATTCGAGCTCCACATTTTGCAGCAAGATGTGTATTTTGGCTTGTATATATCAGATTGTGGTGCATCATAGACTGTATTTTTGCACAAAACGAGTACAAATTAGAGAACATTCCACCGAATCTAGATGATTATGTTGAATTTGACACAATAATGGTGGAGGTGTAAGAAGATTCATAATTGAGGGGTAGATGTAATTATCCAAACAGTAGGAGTTTTTTTCGTAATTGATCATACTTCAGGGGTGATTGTAATTTACCCATATATATATGTACCAAATTTGTAAATTTGTTAGTAATATACTGTATGTATTTACAGGATGATCCTTTTTTTTTTAATTATTATTGTTATTATTATTGTTGTTATTACATGATTAAGAATTATGTTCCAGATAGGTGCTTCAAGCTGGCAGTTGTAATAAACTTAACCAACTTGACAATTATTGCATATTATATGTATATATACCTTTTTTTTATTGTTTAATTTAATATTTTAATTCTTTTTTGTCTTGTAATACATTCTATCCAAAGAATGTTATCGATGTCGGATCTCTCAAAATTCTCGCGCGTGTAGATGTTACATCTGATGAAATATATTGAATTTAATCGTTTTCATTTACACCCAATCATACATTAGTACCGTAT